ATGGTGTCAGCATGTGCTTTGGTTGAAGCCTGTTCCTTTTGGCAATGGATCTGGTATCATACCACTTTCTGTACGAGTTTCAAATATGCTGTTTGCTAGGTGAAGGTGAATCTGGATGCTGCTGAAAAAAATTGTGAGCATGTTGGTCTTAAGATTTAAGGGTGAAGGTGAATTTGGATGCTGCTGAAAAAATTTGTGAGCATGTTGGTCTTAAGATTTAATTATCGATATAATTCTCAACAGGACGCACATGTTCATTTTTATCTCTCACCATTATTTGACATAAACAGAGAATAGTCACAGTTGGCTAGTTATAAGAACAAATATGCAATGATTCATGGAAATGAACTGCACGTTCCTTGTCGTAAGGGCAATTTTTAGACAGACTCCATTTCCCTTTCTGCCATTCCTCCCACTTCTTAGTCTCATCAGTTTTTGTTACCTCTCCATGCTACAGTATCTCTCCTCTTAATTCACACATCACATCATATTACCTTGTGTAAAACCAATTATCTGAATATTTCACATTTCTTTCTTAAGTAACTTCAAATGCTTACAGTAATAAGTATCATATACACTCTTTGTAATGTAAAAATATGCATTATCCATCACATTACTTTACATATTTAAGTAGTAAATGGCTAAAACCAATTATCTGAATGTAAAAAACTGCCTTCTTCATTAACTTCACAAACTCACATTAAACAGAATTATTCCAACACTTCACAATGTAATAATATGCAATATTTCTCACACGGAACTTATTTCATTGAAATTTTTCCACTCCGTGTTATATAGAAGTCTTCTGAAACCAAAGAACCTCACTGAAAATTATGCTTTGAAGCATTATACACAACATTTTGCTATCTAGCTTCATTACGGAGAATTTTTGTATTGGCCATCTTACATGTTGGGTCTTGTGCTAGAGCATTTTCTGTGACATCTCTGCCCATTTGAATATCTCCTCTTTGAAACCCAGTTTGAAAAAATGCAAATAAAGAAACAGCTGAGCAAATGAACAAACAACTGACTTTTATATAATACAGATGTAAACAATATATGTTGAGTTGTTCTTGAGGAAATCGAGCAAAGAGTGGGGATTTTATTTGACTGACATAAACCAAAAGACATTTTATGAGAACTTTTATTGTTAACCCTCAATACTAAATTTCATTAAAATCCATTTAGTGGTTCTGGCCATGAAACATGGCAAACATGACTGTTAATCAGTATAATATGTAATACTGAAATTTTTGTACTGAATGGCAGTTTAACAGCAATGTTAATGTCTCTTATATTCAGTTAACGCAGTACCATTTGGTAGTTTGCTGACTTTTTTGTTTCAGTATTTGCTAGAGAAATAGTGTTATGATACCAGTCCACCTCTACCATGCATGTGGTAATATATTTTGTTGTATCTGTTCTTACAGTGTTGTTGCTAAATGATGAATTTTAAAACACAAAGTGGAAGTTCTTTGATTTTACTTAGTGTATATTTTGCTACGAATTATTGTTCTGTGCTTTTTCATGCAAGACACTTTCATTTTTAACTGTAGTATTTTTAATGAATTTTATTACTAATTTTTTATGTATATGCAATTCTTTAAGCCACTATTCTCAACCTTTTGTCACTTTTAACCTCCTGTCCCTATCTTGTCTTACTTTGCAGAAAAGAAATATAAAATTATCTGATACTCTGAAGAGAACTTTATATAATGCACGTAGAATCTCAATGCAGTGAACATCAGGAACATGATTTTTCACTGTTTAAAGAAAGGCAGTCTCCAGCAAACTTTGTATTTAGTAAGTCAGTTTAATTTATGAATACACACATTTAACACAATTGAATTTTAATAAAGTGTTCACCTATTCTGTACCCACCATGCGTAATTGTTCTGTTGCAATGTAAAACAATATATGAGTATGATCTGAAGCTTTTGTGGCGACTAAGTATAATGAACTATTCTCGGGCTACCAGCCATGTAAAGTGGTTTAATGAAGGAAACATTTTTCATTAAACCACCTTACTCGGCTAGTAGCCCAAGAAGAATTCATTATGATATATGAGTATGCACACTGAAATTATCTCAGAATTAAATAATTTTATACCTTTGTTTGCCAGAAAAAGTTGTTACGTACCAGTATCAGTAAATCATGTCTTGTAAGCTTGAATATTACATACCAGTACCAGTAAATCATGTCTTGTAAGCTTGAATATATGAAAAAACAAAAACAAACAGAAATTTAGGGAGTGTGAATTTGATCACACTGGACAGCATTTAGGCGTGCTAGCCTGTAATGTAAACTTAATATTTTAATGCAGATGAGATGGTGTGTTTGTAATGTCTGCATTCACCTTTTTCTTTCATAATTTAAATTCTTTTATTATTTGATTTGCATGCAGCTGCTCAATTTTGTGTAAAGTTAGTATCATTTGTTTAATGTCTGTGTTGTGATCATTAACTAACTTCATGGAGCGTAGTTTTTGAGAAGCCACTAGTCAGCTAGTGAAAATGTTTCCTGCCTTTTGTTGAACCCAATGGTTTATAAAAGCCTGCCACTGAACCCTGTTCTGAACCCATATTTACTTAATATCATATTTCTGTCTTTGCCTGTTTTACCAAATGCTTCATATTTTCTGGCCATAATTTTACATAAATTCCAGCATGATCAGCGGGCTTGTGGTACTTTAATTTGTAGTAATATTTTCATTGTGTTACCTTCAAGTAATCAAACAACAAGAAAACAGCAAGTCGTATGTCTGGCAGTTGTAGACGGTGAAAACTGAATGGGTGTTTAATTCTTCTTTGTGACATGAGACCTTTTGGCCATACATTCTGTGTTCCTGTGTTATATATTTCATTGTAACATTTAAAATGATATGAAAATAGACCTAATCAGCATGATAAGTGGTTAGAGGGAGAAGAAAGAGTGCAATCTACAATGCATTTAGTTCTGGTGGTCTGTCTGCAGTCCTCCAGACATCACACCATACTCAAGGTGGTGGGGAACAGTTTACAAGTCAGAACTACACCATAAACAAAAAAAGCTTGCTCTACAAGCTAATGCACTATATAGGTGCACATATTCGTATATGATAATGCCAAACCATCTCTGCTTATGTGCATGCAGTTGGCAAAACTGACTTGTGCAGTTTTGTAGGAAGTCAATCTGCTTCCACACAGTGAATGCATTCC